GATCTTTTCTGGGCCAATATGATTCATTCGGTATCTGTCTGAACGCATAGCTGTAGACATTTAATATCCTATGTAGGTGAAAACACTCATCAACATAAGTGTATGCGCTTACACCAGCATACATACATGCAGCGACTGCATGAGCACATGGATATTTCCATGCCTGAAAACGACCACAATCACACCATTTCTGTCGTAAATCAACTCTAAATGTTTGGTCTTCTCCTCCGACGTTACGGCGTATGCACGACACGATAAAAGTATGACCAACTCGGTCGAAATTATGAACAACCATTGATGTTGCCAATCGCTCATTTGCTTTCATTGATTCCACCACTGTAGGAGCCCAAGTTTTACCTCTATTTATAAGACTCTCTATTTCTTTGCCTTTGTCCGACCAAACTTTAGCCAATCTAAAGTACGTCTCTTTCATCACACTCGTAATTGGGAGATGACGTGTACCTTTTAGTACCGAATTAATGGCCTCAGCAAGGTTTGTGGTCATATGTCCTTATCTCCGACCTTCATCGTATGCTTGCGACCATTTTCACGCGGTATTTTTGAAGCCCACTTCCAAACACGCTGATCATCGTAAAATACCTTCAAATTCTCTAATCTCTTGTCAAAATTTGGTCGACATAGTTCGTATCCTGTTTCATAATATACTGTGTTAAACCGCAATTAAAAAAACCATGTAAAAAATGCACAAATATTGAAAATAAAACTTACCCATGCTGACTATCTCGCTACGAATGTGTGCGTTATGAAATTGGTCAATACTATTCTTGCCAATATGACGGATACAAAATGTTGGATATGCATACGGAGGTATCCAACGACTTCCTGGTCCTTCAATTACCGCCAAAATACTCGTTCCTCTATCGGATATCAAGCAAACTCCATCTTCACGAACGACATATTGACGTAGATTACTCAGAAAGAAATCCCAAGCCTCTGTTATCTCTCCCTCAACAATGGCGAATGCAATTGGGAAGATATTTCGCTCACCATCTTGAGCAACTGCCATCAAAAGTACATGCCTATATTGACCATACAACCACGTACCATCTACTTGGATCATACATTTGCAAAATGGAAATCCTTCAATATATGCCTTGAATGCCCAAAATAGTCTATGAAATATTTTCTTCCCTGGCAGAAGTTGACCTTCTTCGTCATATGCAAGCATGGTTTGAGACTTCACTATGGTTCCTGAGATAAATCGCTTCATTGCTTGTAGAAAATGTGGTAGCTCATTGTACGATGTATCCCAATCTCCATACGTCAGCTTCATTGCCTTCATCTTCGCATTCCACACCTTGCCATATTTTACTTGATATCCAAATTGGCTTCGAATAGATGCAGCTAACACTGAACAAGATATCCTTGGATCATTTTCAACCATCGCCTTCACGTATTCACATATTACATCGGAGTCCAATAGTCGGTGGTCTTGTTCGATGGAGTTTCACAAACATGTGTGCGGACCATTGTACCTCGTGATGACCCAAACATCGTGCCTTTGATTTTTCGACACTCTGATCTTCCACTTGCACTCTGGGCCATATTTTACATACTTCGCGTATAGGGTTTTCTGGTTAGACTCTGCAACATGGACTTCAACATGGCATTTGATGCAGTACTCTTTAATCGCCAGCGTAGCTTCATTTTTTCCTCTGAATTGCACCCCAACTGAAAATTCACCAGAATTATCGAATGATTCAGTCATTTCGTACGGAGGTAAATGTGGCATGTTTGGGAATTCAGGTGCCCTCATCGCATCATAGTTTATCTCGTACATGTGAGGAGTAGCTTCATACGGTGCCTGAACTTCATCAATTGCACATCCACCAAAAATATTTTCGTCGTCACCCAAAACGGGTTCTTCGGTTTCTTCATCTTCGCTTGAATCATCGTGAATTTCTCCCCATCGATTTTCAGCGTCAATATCAACAACCAATTTCGGTATGTTTCTCGTCTCATACTCTGCTATTGCAGATGTCCCCCCGACTTCATTTACACTTTCCAATAGAGCCATAAAACTGTTCGGGAACCTGTATGTCGGCTCCTCAAACTGACTATATAAAGCCATTTCAGATGGATTTTGAGCCACACCTCTTGATGACCCAGGAACATCACATATGTTACGCACATCAACAAATAACTCAATAACTGCTATATTGGTTGACTCATGTAATCCAACCATGGTTCCAATATCATCATCTTCTTCAAGTGGAACTGCAGCATATCTGACTAGGTTGGGGCATATCATAAACCTATACCTCAAACCATCAACTGCAGCTCGAATTTTTCTTTCTATCTTATGCTTCATTTCTATAAATGTGATGTCTTTTTTGAAAAGCATATTTATTGGTTTTTCAGACTGAAAAACTACTCCGACCTCATTTTCCATAATCTGTCCATTATAATGGACAATCGTGAAAAAGTTGTTGCTCATTTTCTCTACAAATAAAAAAATAAATTAATTTAGATTAAAATATTAGATAAGATAATTTCATAAAACATTAAATCATTAAATATAATATAATATAATATAATATACTATTATATTAATGATCAAATAAAATTTGTTATTTAACTTGATTAATTGATTGATTACTAATATTATTAATAATTATTATTAATCTAATGATTTGATATTTAATGATTTAATAATAATATGATTTAGTCATGATTACTAATAATTATTTGTTATAAATATTTAATGATTTAGATTTGATACTAATCATTTAGTAATTATTACTAATAATCATGATTAGTTTGATAATATTTTTTATTTTTTAAAAATATCAAATAAATTTGTTAGGCAAAATATCGTGATAATGCATTGGCCGGATTATTTCATTTAATTAATTTTTACTCCTTACTAATTTACACATACAATATAAATAAAACAAAATATTTTTTTAAAACAACACTAAATATTTTTAAACACAATATTTTTTTTAAACAAAAAATTATCTCGCACAAATTAGTTTATATAATCTAATATAAACTTACTAACTAACTAATTTACACATACACAACAACAAAAAATGGACAACAAAAAATAATAAATTACTCACGTATTTATGCCTTCCTCCTTTCCTTTCTTTTCCTTCTTTGTTTCTTTCTTCGAATCAATTTGAACATGGGCAAATGTTGTGGAATAATGCCCTGTATGTGTAAACCGTTTAATTTATTTAAACAACAATAGCTCCCACAAATTAATTTTATATAATCTAATATATTATAATATAACTTAAACTAATAAACTATTTATTTATTATAATATAACTTAGTTAAAATAACACACTAATTAAGCGCTAATTAATTTTTTTATAATATAACTTCAACTTCAATGAACAATCTAATATACGTTTAAAGACACTAACAAATTAATTAATATTTTTTTATATTTAATAACTTAAACTAATTAACTAATTAACTAATTTTTTATATAATATATAATATATAACTTAAACTAACAAACTAATAATTTATATTAACAAACTAATTAACTAGATTTTAGTTTTACCCTAAACCCTAAACTAACAAACTAATAATTCATATAATAAACTAAATTAAACAATAAAAAATTACCTCACGAACTATGTTTGATCCTTTATCTTATTTTCTTCTTCTTCCTTTTCTTTCTCTCGGCAAAGTTTATATGTGCTTATGCTTATGCTCCTAGTTCTGCTTCTGCTTCTACCTTCTTCTGACCCTAACCCCATATCATTTATATAAAGCAAAAAATATTTGTACAGAATCATTAAAATTTGACTATTGAAGAAAATAATATTAGGATTGAATCGTATAACTATTGAGCATTGAAAGTCTTCAATTGAACAACAATATTTGCTGCATTTAACAGCTAAATTAACGCTGCAATCATGCAGCTATGGATGCAACGCATGCAGCTATGGATGCAACGCATGCAACTACGGATGCAGGAATCTCCCAGCTAGCTATGGATGCAACGCATGCATGAGTGATAGGGTTAAAGCTTGGTCGCGATGCAGGAATCTCCCAGCTATGGATGCATGATGAGGGATAGGGTTAAAGTTTGGGGCGTGAAGGACCCACAACTTGGTCGCCGGGACTCCATGGCGACCTACCATGTCGTCGGGACTCCATGGCGATCTACCATGTCGCCGGGACTCCATGGCGACCTACACATGCACGATCTCCCCATTCTTCCCATGCATGAACCGATCCTTGGTCATCCTTGGTCGCCTCGAGTGCCCCATGCATGAACCGAGCCCCGAGTGCATGGCACGATCTCCCCAATCTCCCCATGCATGAATCCTTGGTCGCCCCGAGTGCATGGCGACCTCCTTGGTCGTTGGGCGTGCATGGCGACCTCTTTGGTCACTGTACAATTAACCCTATCTCAACAAATAATATGTCCAAAGCATTATCTCGTGAAAAAAAAATCGAGAACATTATCTCGTGAAATCAACCTCTTTACTACTTCCCCTAAATCTTATCATTTTGTTTCACTTAAACCCAATGTGGTTGAAATATCAGAGTTTATAATTGTTACGGATCTAATTTAAAAAATATAAAATTTTAATAAAGGGTTTTTAAAAATAAATACGTAAATTATTTTATTTTCCCCTAACCTTTTAATGCATAAAAATAAATTTAAAATTTTTATTTAAATAATAAATATGCAATTATTCTTCTAAGGAGCTTAGTGCATCCTCCCTTGTTTGCTAAAGGATTGGAAAACAAGAAAGATTACAATGAAAACGCAAATTATACTAAAGCAAAGCTCTAGATAAGTTGAAAATACGTACCACAATGTAAAAATGGATAGGAGAGAGTAACGGCCGTACCATTGAACCAATCGATTCTTGGTATCGTTTTTTACGATTCAAAACGACCTTTAAACATGGTTTGGTTTATTTGCAGCATTGGTGTCTCTCGGGCTTTGTTTCTTACATTTTGACCCATATATGAAGTACAACTCTCGTTTTGATTGGCCATTTTCCTAAACACTTTGACGCTGGAGCTAGAGCTGACGCTTAATGTCACCACAAAGATCTAAACAAGGTGTAGCTCAGGCATCCACTGGATCACTTGTCCCCCTGGTTCTCAGGACCACCACTTCCAGAATTCCATCAGGGCGGAACTTAGGAGAAAACAATCGGGGATCAACCGGTCCGGGCAGATTAAAGGAAATTGTGAACGGCCCTGGAGAGCAGAACGTCTCGACTCCCATCTCGCATTCGCTCGATAGTCCCTGAACCACTCTAATGCCTTGTGTTATCATACCCTGTATAAGAACCTTCCCATCACGTTGCAACTCACATTTCAACTTACCTGGTGGAGCCAACATTACATACTTAGTCATCTACTCATCTTCATTTATATTTTTCGTTCAACAGGATAACATGGGTTCATACCCGATTGCAATTCTGATGCACTTTTTTAGACTAGTAATGTCATTATTAGTTAAAGGACAAGTAATAAACAACTATATCGGTGCACTGGACTTATACAATGTTGTCAAGGGCACAACCCGCAGACTAGGTACAACTGTACAAAAGCCCTTTTTATTGCATCAGGCACAAAAAATGCACTTGCCCGAGTGAATTATACCACAATATCGTATATGTGTTTGATTTTCTGTGTCTGTAATAATAAGTTTAACATTTAACAAAATGATCATTTTGGCTGCTCTTCTTTTTTCTTTTTTCAGTATTTTGGCCCCCAACATTTCATTTTAGGTTAGATTTTCATCCACATACGAGCCTTTTTGTCCCAAAATGAAACGTTGGGGGGATAAAATGCTCTAAAAAGAAAAAATAGGAACCAAAGTGACTATCTAATCAAACATTAGAGGCATTTTTTTTAACATCATGCATATAAATAACCCTAAAGAAATATCTTAGTTTATCTACAAAACATGCAAACGTTTGTAGCTCTATATGTATAATGTCCTTACAAACAAGCATGCATACATGCACTATTCGTGTGTCTGATCAAATGGAACTTGCACTAAAAGGATGGGTCTAAAGCGTTTTTGTTGTCTAGCACTAAGGTGCATGCTTTGACAGCATTAATTTTACATGCTATTAATAACATAGTTAACAATAGAAGCTTACTTTGATCGTTCTTGATACTTGGCAATGCAACTCGGAAAAGGAAGGCACTTTGACTGACCCCTATGTCAATAAGACCAATGGATGGTCCGTTAGATTCCTTTGCAGATCCAGTTAAAACAACAGATGGCTTCAACTTTGACTCTGCATAATCTTGAACTCCCATGACAGCAACTTCCCTTCACACACATCAGACACAAGACCTGTCTACTTATATCACCGATACAAAACAGAAATGCAGTTAAGAAGATAATAAGTGAATTATGAGCAAGTGCTTGTGCATTGCACATTCATATGTTCAGGGGCGGACGTAGAATTTTATGTTAAAAGACAAATTTTTAAAATTCTAAGGGGCAAAAACAAATTATCAATAGATAATATATATATATATATATATTATATGAAAACTTAAACTTTTTAAGGGAATGATCACCCCGTCGGTCACCCTGTTTCCATCCCTACACATGTGCCCTTCTCATGCAGCAAGATACCAGTTGTCACATCCATGAATATAATACCGATAAAGAGAAATCTAAAGAAGAGATATCTTAGGATATCCCAGTTACAGCATAAACACATGTTTCTTTTAACAATCCAGTCGTTAGAAAAGTCTCGTACAAAAATTTAGTGATTTTACATAAATTCTAGACTTGAATTGACAATTCAAATTTTAAAAATCTCCTTAGCATGTTTGTTTTAATTGGTCTATACTCACAATGAAACACTAATATATTGTAAACTAATGAGCTCCAAAGTTCTGAAACAACTTTATTTTACTAATACCTACAGTTGATGGAGAATGAGAAATAAGTAGGTACCATAAAATCTTTATCATCCAACTAGCATCAACATCATGGATGGACCGAGGGGATGGTGGGATGGTCGCCCCTGAAAATTTCAAATTCTCATATAGTTTAATTATTTTTTTTGTATTTTTTTATTGATAACCTATTTTTGCCTCTTAAAATTTTATAAATCTGCCCCTTTAACATAAAATCCTGCCTACTTCCCTGATCATCCCCTAAAGAATTTGTTAACCACTAGACCCTTAAACTTTGAGAAGAGATTTGCCTCGATAAATATCATACTCTAGTTTTAACATCCATAAACTGTTTTAAATATAGTTAGATCAAGAAACATGGTGTCGAACACATAAGAAAGGCCCGGCATAAAGAGGAAGCCAACCTACCTGCAATCCTTTAGAGGGGAAATCATCCACTTTCAACTCAGCATAGATTGACAAAACTCTCAAGTTGCATAATATGACAAGCTTAATGAGTGAAGTAGTGAACAACGGAAAAAATAATTCTATACAAGTTATACGTAGCATTAAATAGAATTAAGTTGCGGCGGCAAAAAATTTAGTGATTTTACATAAATTCTAGACTTGAATTGACAATTCAAATTTTAAAAATCTCCTTAGCATGTTTGTTTTAATTGGTCTATACCACATCCGCATTATGAAAACATAGTTATATTTAGGAAACAAATCACACGGTGGCGGTGGCAGCCGTAACGTGCGTAACATCCACGACACAGCATCCGCAACCGAAACTGCAAATTAGTAATATAGTTTCAAATAGCATTGGCAAAGCTGTGTGGCAACCTCAATGGTAGCGGCCCGCGGCCGCCAAACAAAAAAAAAACAGTGTAGAGAAAAATAGTAGATCAAAAAACAGAAAATAGAATGTAGCAGAAAAATGCAGAGGCAGAGAGCAGATAACTCAAATTCTCAAATGAATCAATTAGAAATCTTCAAGTTAGGTTTAGGGTTTACAAAATACCTTACTGATTTTCTTGGTCAGTCGGAATCCTGAAGGAAAGAAAGCGAAAGCGAAAGAGAAAGACAAGGCAGATGGTGGTGAGTATTAGAAAAGGTTGTTGGGCTAGCGGTTAAGCCGTTTGGGCTAACTACTTTATTTCGGGTTTTTGGTATGGATGGGCATGGGTCGGTTTCCGTCAATCCAACCCGAAAATTTCGCATCCTTTATTCGACTCGACCTGACTCGAAAAACATATGCCCTCCAGCCGACCCGAAATCGACCCGATTTTTTGAGGTAAAATCCAAACCTGATTCCAACTCGACCTGAAATAATAGAAAATATTATTTTATTCAATTAAAATAGTGATTTAATTGGAAAATATATATAGAGGGATATTATTGAAATTATTCTTAAATATATAATGTAAAATTATATTTTTTCCCGGTTCGGGTCGGGTATTTTCATCCTAAACCCTAATCCGATCCGAACATCGCATTTAAAAAATCTGATCTAACCCGATTCGAATCTAATTTTTTTTTTAAAAAAATCCAACCCGGTCCTAGTTATTGGTTTAGTGCTAACTACTTATATAATGTCCATGGGACAAATTCTTAATCTACTATAATAAATATCATAAATTTTTAAATAATTTTTCATCAATCATATTTCCTTAATCCTTGCTCCTGCTCATAATATTTCTCTAAATTTACCCGATTTAAATGATTCATTTTATCTCAAAAAGGAAACTCGAATTATTTGTTTTGTTTTTGTTTTTTAATTGTATCAAATTTGTTTTTAAAATTATTTGAATTTATCAAATTTTCCTTAATCAACGTTGACTGTTATAGTACCAATAAATCGACTTCGATGGTGAAAGAATTGTTATTATTTTTTAAGGTATCGGGTTTGAGTACCGATAGCTACTTTTCATATTACTAATCAAGCGATTTCAGCGGTAAAAGAATTGTTATTATTTTTTGAAGTATCGGGTTTAAGTACTGAGAGCTACTTTTTATTTTATTCAATGTCAAATGCTTGAAAATTATTTTTAAACAAATACTATTTTGTATTTTCCCTAATAATATCGTCTTGTTAATTTTGTAGCTATTCCTCTTCTTGAGAAGCATTAATGCAATTAACAACTAAAACCTATTCTCAGCAGAGTTCATTAGCTTCTACTATTTATCTGTTTTATCTAATCAAAATTTAATCCAAGTTTAATTTGCAGTACTCTCCACCAAATTTGCCTTCTCTTCTTTATCGGTCAGGCTGGCTAGAGGTGAAGTTAGTCATTGCCGTGAGTGAAGACTTTGGCTATCTCCTATTAGTAAAAGTCATCTATGCTATTCAAAATTAAGCTTGATTTATGGAGTTTCTTTGGATCCCATGAGAATGTACCACGATGGCTAGCGAGTGGCGAAGATGCTCTCTTGATAACTACTATCGAGCTTCATTGCTTGATTTAGTACCATTTTCTGACATTTATCCGCTTGTTTCAAAAGCTATATAAAAACCTTCGTATTATAGAACTATTTATACTTAAATCATTGGGTTGAAGACACTTTCCAATTAAAAAAAATAGAAATTTGTTCACAACCTAATATTGATAATTACATAACCAAAATAGGGGGGGGGGAAGGAAAATGCAAAGATGGTAACGAAAGGAAAACCTTTTTAATATCCCAACAGACCCCACATGAACAAATAATCCCTAATCGCATTCAAATCTGAAATGAATATACTACTTGTCGTTAAGGGTTAACTGCAGCTAACAGTCTCAAATTATGGTCTGAATTTTAAAGTGATATCTAAACTTCAAAATATACTAATTAAGTCCTCAAAATATTAGGCATTGTTCAATTAAGTCCTTCCATAAATGTTATCGTTAGTTTTTAAATGCCGGACAACCAAAATTAAAATTAACATTAGATATGATTTTGAAATAAAAAATAGTACGGTGACCAACACGAAACAAAAATAATAATTGAGATATTAAATGGATATTTTATCTTATTATTAATTTAAGAGAGGGAATGAAAGAAGGCAGCAAGCGTTATATTGACTCAAATTGCTCTAGGCAAAGCTCACTCCTTGACCATCCAATCGGTCATCCTTGTACTTTACCTGAGATCTAATCCTGCTACAAAGCAAAAAGATGGGGATGTCTCAGGAAAGGCGGGTTAATATACGGCTAATATACAGCATTACCGGATACATTAAAATGTATTTAATAAATTCGGTTTAGCGGTACCTATTATGTTGACAACTAATAATGTTTTAGGTAGAAAATATGAAAAACTATTAAAAAATTTGGTAACCGGTAAACTTTGGTTATCGGTAAGTATCTATCCTTTTTATAAAAGTGTCTATACGTTTAACATATCAAGTAAATTTTACCGGTTTTGTCATAATGAATCTGGTTTTGTCATATTTTTACTTGTTATATTGTAAATTATCTATCATTTTTATAAAAGTGTCCATACTTATTTCATTGTGAAAATATATTTATTATTATCTTTAGTTAATATTGTTAAATTTAAAATCTAAATAATATTTTATAAAATATCAAAACAATCAAATAATTTTTTGTGTAAATGAAATTATTAAATTAATATTGTAGGTGGAAAACATGAAACACTATTAAAAAATTTGAAACATAAATTACATAACTTTCAAAAAAGTATATATCATTTTTATAAAAGTGTCCATACTTATTTCACTGTTGAAAACATATTTATTATTATATTTGGTTAATATTGTTAAATTTAAATGCTAAATAATATTTTATAAAATATCAAAACAATCAAATAAAATTTTGTGTAAATTAAATTATTAAATTAATATTGTAGGTGGAAAACATGAAACACTATTAAATAAATTGAAACATAAATTACATAACTTTAAAAGCAGTTTTAAATCCTAAAAAGTGTCGATACTTTTAAAAAATATATCGATCCAAAACGATATACCAGGTAAAAATATGATAAAACCGGTAACAAAATGATAAAACCGGTAAATTTAAAAGTGTCGATACGTTATATAAGGATCGACACTTTGTGAATTTAAAAGAGAAGCAGTTATAGCGCCTATAATGTGTCGATACTTTAAAAAAAATATCGATCCACAACGATATAACAGGTAAAAATATGATAAAACCGGTATCAAAATGATAAAAACGGTAAAATGATACCGGATATATTGAAAGTGTCGATACTTTCGTAAGTACGTGTAATAAATTATCGACACTTTCAAAGAAATAGGTAATTATCTTTTCGAAAGTATCGACACCTGACATAAAAGTATCGACACTTTTGTATTTGTATCGATTAAATATAAATAACATATCCGATGAAAATATAAGCTAAATATCCTCTGAAAATAGATAGAACGGACGAGTTTTTGAAATCGAAGAGTAATTGTTGCTGCATTTCAGAAGGCG